TTGTTGTTGGTGGTGGTGGTGGTGTTGTGGTTGTTGTTGGGGATGGTGTTGTTGCTTTTGCACGGTGAGAGTGGTTTTGGGGGGGGAGGGTGACTGGTAGGTTGTACCTTTTAACTATCCCTTTCTGTCTTCTTTCTGTCTATCTTGCTTTTATTCCCAGCACTAAATGACAGTAATATATAGATCTAGATCTAAGTTGTGTTGATGTGTTTAAAAAAAAATCAAACTAAAGTGGAAAGCAACTGGCCACCCTACCACAATATGCCGAAGGCTCAGGAAGTTGTCTCACTGACTAAGCAATCCCCAATGTCCGGATCGGATGGATCGGATGCGGGAACAACTTTACTTTACTTTTATTGACATTTCTGGGGTTTTTAATGACCTTGACTTTTCTGTTTATTTTTTTCGGTCTCAAAATTAACATCTCTGTGTTGTTTATGGCCTTGAGATTTCTGTTTATTTTATGGCGGTGACGTTTCTGTTTTTAATGGCCTTTACATAATTTCTGGGGTTTTTAAATGGCCTTGACATTTCTGTGTATTTTTTCCACACCTCAACAGGAAGTGGAGCAGATGAAGAGGAGCCAGAAGCAGCAACAGACGTCTCAGTCGGCCACAGAAGTACGGCTAAACCGAGCGCTGGAGGATATAGAGAGATACAGGGAGCAGTTACAGAGGACCAAGTCTGCCTCTAAGGTGAGGGGAGGGGAGGGGAGGAAGCGGAAAACATCGACAGATTTTAGATTTTTAAACCATTTTGACTTCTTACTGTAAGACTCCGTACACATACGCTGTTTTAAAAAGTGACATATGAAAGGCCAATTTGTTGCGGTCTATTTGTTGACTTTTGTCAAGTCTAGTAAGTGACCATAATTCAGAACCTGTCCATGGGTGGCTGGCAGGTGCTCTAGTGTGATTTGCTCCATCTTTCCTATCAAACTCAAACATCTATCGTCCTTATCTCTCCTCCTCCTTTCCTATCAAACATCTATCGTCCTTATCTCTCCTCCTTATCTCTTATCCTTCTTTTTTGTGCTTGTTACTCACTTGTAACACCTCTATTCTTCAGCACTTATATGACCTTATTGTATTGCAAATGCCGTAAGACTCTTACTAAATAAAAAACCTCATCTTTTTTGTGTCTTTTTCTCTCTTGTAGCACCTGTAATCTTCGGCACTTATATGACCTAATTGTGTTGCAAGTGCCGTAAAACTCTTACTAAAAAAAAAAAAAGAAACTAGTACTAAAACTAAAGACCCTGTGCTTAGTGACCACCTGTCTATAATGGTCACTTTTCTTTGTGGTCTTGAGAGATCGCTATAGACTGGATATCGACTTCTTTCCTATCATCTCTATCTCTCCTCCTTTTTTTGTGTTTGTTACTCTCTTGTAACACCTCTAATCTTCGACACATATATGACCTTATTGTGTTGCAAGTGCCACAAAACTCTTACAAAAACAGATATATCGTAAATTAATTACACTCTCTTTCCTATCAAATTTATCTACTTTATCTCGCCTTCTTTTTTGTGTTCGACACTCTCTCGTAACACCCTTTATTTTCACCACTTAAATATAAATATGACCTTATTGTGTTGCAAGTGCCTTAAAACTATTACAGTGGGTTGTTGGCGGGTGCTCTGGCGTGGTTTTCTCCTTCTTTCCTATCAACAAACACCTATCGTCCTTATATCTCCTCCTTACCTCTCCTCTTTTTTGTGTTTGTTGCTCTCTTGTAATCCATCTAATCTTCAGCACTTATATGACCTTATTGCGTTGCAAGTGCCGTAAAACTCTTACTAAAACTAAAAAAACTTAACTGTTACAAAACTTTAAAAAATAAACTGTTACAAAAACTATTTTAAAAAAAAAACTCTTACAAAATCTAAAAAAAACTAAACTCTTACAAAATCAGAAAAAAAACCCTATAAACTCTTACTAAAACTAAAACAACTAAAGTGTTCCAAACCCCTGTTCCCCAGGACCACAGTGACGCAGACAAGCATCGAGTAGAACAGTTACTGGCTCAGAACAAACGGCTGGAGAAACAGAAGAGTGAGCTCATGGCTGGCTTCAGGAAGCAGATGAAGCTCATTGATATACTCAAGAGGCAGAAGGTGAATTGTGTTTGTTTGTTTGTGTGTCTGTGTGTGTGTGTGTGTGTGTG